GTTTGGTTTGAGGGGAGGGAGGGGTAGGGAAGGAGGGGAGGGGAGGGTATTTAATGATCCCTTGTTTGGTTCAAGGAGGGGAGGGGAGGGATAGTAATAATCAATTTACCATTTTACCCTTACATATTAGTTTATGTTTTTTATTGATATATTATATAAATTAATTTACATCTTAATTTAAATTATATAATTTAATAAAAATTCAGTCTTATCATGTTAATATGTGTATTAAAAAATTGGTATAGTAATTTTTTATTCTAATTAATATAATAATATATTTAAAATAATCAAATTAACAAATTTTATATGCTCTAAGAAAAATGAAATTTTATTTTCTTTAGGCTATCTTTTTTTCCAGCTTTAAAATATATTTAATAAATAATATATTTATAAAAACAATTAATTTTATAATATTATAATTTTTTATTTCAATAATTTTTTATTTTTAAATAATTTTTATAATATATTTTTAATTATAATAATGTATATATTTTTTTTTACTTAGGATAATATATTTTTTATTTGAAATAAATATTATAATAATATATTTTATGGGTAGAAGTGGAATATTAAAAAAACCATAAGGGCATAATGGTCCAAAATTTTGGCTCCCCTCCAAAAACCCCCAATTTGGAGGGGAGCCAAAATGGGGGGAGGGAGGGGACATTTTAGCTCCCCTCCCCTCCAAAATTTTTAACCAAATGAGGGAAGGGGCTCCCCTCCCCTCCCCTCCCCTCCAACCAAACACACCCTTAGTTCAAGGGAGGTGACAAGAGGGGGAGCAGAGGAGAGGGGAAGTTATGAGTGTTGTTTGGTTGGAGGAGAAGGGAGGGGAAGGAAGGTTTCTTGTTTGCTTTAGGATGAAAGGGGAGGAAAACTAATTATAAGTTGACAGATATGTCCTTATTTTTTATATAGATTTCTTTATTATTTTATTACAATATTTATATCAGAATTATTATTCTTAATTTATGAATATTAAAAAAAATTACCTCCATGTACAAAATATTTACATATCTATAAAATATATACATAAAACTTAAAGGCAGCAAGTCTAAAATTCCAAATTCTTATATGTCTAACTTCAAAATTATTAGAATACAAGCAAACTTAAAAGCAACAAGCCTCAAACTTCAAATACAATACATAGAAGTCCAACTATAAAGTTATTACATGGCATACTTAAAAACATTAAATATGAAAACTTTAAATAAACTTGAAAGAGCAAGTTAATCCAAGCACAAACTTCAAATTGATTAGGGTACTTTGACACCATATCTCATTAGCCTATTTTGAATTAACACAGGTATATATGGATGTGCATATCATTATTCCAATGGATCTCAGGAATTTCAACTCCTATAAATCAATAAAAAATAGCTTTATACATAATAAATGAATCAAAAATAATAATAATACTAATACGGTGAAAGAAGTGAGGGATCTAACAAGAGGAAAAGATGGAGAAGATTAATCTAAGTATTAATCTGAAAAATAAAGTATCCAAGAAAAAAAGAGAATTAAGATATATAATGCTGGACTTTTGGTTGCGTTTGATGCCACAAAAGTTTCGGTTGTTATTGACTTATTCAAGGTATACCATCTTAGTTTTCATTTAAAATTAGAAATAGTGCTTGCTATGCGGCACTATTTCTTTCTTCAGAGTCAACAATTTGGGAGAAGGCAAAACCGGCACACAAAAAAACAATGACATCATATTATCATATACTTGAGGACTGAGTGTATATGGAAAATATCCACCTAAGGATAAAGGATTCGCATAGCCATATATACATTCTCATACTCAATATCATAGGCAAGTAAATGGCTTTTAATGATAAATTTGCACTTTTCACCCTAGGTCCGAAGACTTGCAGCCCATTCGTGCCTGTTAGAGCTCATTTGGCGAGTTGGTCCGCTTGGTACTGTAACCTTCTATGGTTACTATTTCTCTCTTATTTGCTCTCTTTAAGTAAGAACATACTTAAAAAAAAAAAGTTTAATTTTTACATATTTATCACTTTTAATTAATTTTAACTGTGTTTTTAAACCACATAATTTAGTTAAAAGGATCTTATAAAAAAGAATGGGAGTAATTTTTTAGAAATTAATAGTTGGCTATTTAATTGAAGTTTTTTTTTTTAATATAATACTGAAAATGTTACTCAACAAAACATCAAGCCAGTACAAATACTATCCTCCTTCCTCAAGATCCACCCCCTCGGAAAAGATGGAGTTTGATTAAGGAAACAAAAATAAGCTTACATGTCATGGGATTAATTGAATACATCATTATTATTTGTAACGTTTCAGAGTTGGAATCGGAATCAAAGTGTTGATTGAGAATGTGTATTGTTGTTGGTTATCCAACGTAGCATTCAAAATAAAATCAAGTGGGCGGCTTTGTTCAGAAGAAACTCTTGTATAAGAGTTCTCTCTTTTAGGCTTTGGATTTGGCTTCTCTTCTTTACCCATTCCATCCAATTTCTTTCCACTACCATCTCCAGCATTATATTGAAACTTGAGATAAAATAAATTTTAAAATTATTTTTTGAAATATTTTTATTGCAGTTTTAAACTGATATTATCAAAGTGTGGCAGTTTTGAATTTATTTATTTATTAATATTTTGGCATTCTTCTTGTGAAAGTAATTTGACATTTTACTAGCTATCTTAAAAAGCATTAAATTTGGGCCGCTCAAATTCCAAGCTTTTCCTTATATGTGTCAGCCCTCGAAGGAACATGACAAATGACATGATTTTTTTCATAATGGAATTATTTTATGCAGCGTTTCAATTGACCTTAGTGTATGTATAGTCAGCAGTGGAATGTTTGTTATTTGTGCTTTCCGTCATTTAATCCTATGTTTGGTATGAGGGAATTGAAGGGTAGGAGGAGGGAAAAAATCACAATGAGCTTGATTTAAAAAAATTGGAAAAGTGGGGTTATAATATTCTGATATGGAGAAGATATAAGATAAAAGAGTAAAAAATAGGGAAAACTAATTTAGAAGTCCTTATAATTTTTATCAGTTTGGAACCAGGTCCTTGTAATTTGTTTTCTTTTTATTAGATCCTTTAACTTTCTCCTGTTAGGTCCATTAATCCCTACAGTTAAATAAGACAAACACCATTATAACTTTCTGTTAAATCTTCTCATCACCTACCCCCCATTTGCCCAACTCACTGTTCCTTCCACGGTAAATATCATCAGGCAGTACATCGAGTACGCTTTGCAAAAATTATAGCATCTGGCTTGCTTTAGGTTTGAAGGCCAAGAAGGAAATGCGTTCCTGGGTCATGTCCATATAGCTCACAGGGGTAGGGGAGGAACACAGGGAATAAAGGCGAAGCAGAAAAGAGAACAAAGCAAAGAACCTTAAAATTGGGATTTCGTACAAAGTTCATTTCTTTGAGCTTGAATTACTAGGATAAAATATTCAGAGTCTAGACTAAGGGGAAGCAAATTTGAGATAAGAGGATCGCAGAAAATAGAGGAACAAATGAAAAATAAACTAAATCCAACAATAAAGTAAAGATAAATTCTATAACTAGCATGGATTCAATTTAAGAAACCGTTTAAAGGGAGAGAGACTTGCACAGATCTAGTGTTAAAAAAAAAGAGGAAGAAAGTGGAAGTGGGGAAGTATATCAGATGAACAAGTGGGATGCAGCTGGAATTCGAGGTGTTTTCACGAGTTTGATGGACGAGCTCATACTACTCATATTAGTGAGGTCGCGAGAACGGCAGGAAAGGAGAAGATGTTGATGGAAAGTTATCACGATGTTTGTCTTATTTAAGGATAGGGATTAATGGACCAAACAGGAGAAAATTAAAGGATCTAATAAAAAGAAAAAAAACCATAAGGACCTGATTCCAAACTGATAAAAACTGTAAGGACCTCCAAATTAGTTTTCCCTAAAAAATATAGTTAAAAGCTTTTAATCCCACTTCTTCAATTTTTTTAAATCGAGCTCATTAAAACTTTTCCCATCTTCCCCCATACCAAACAGACAACTTTTATTCAAAATGGAATATTAATATTACATTGATGAATAATCATCGGTTGAGATGTGTTTTCATCAAGACGATGAGATTTGAACTGATCCAAATTTAAGTTCTTCCATTTTTTAAACTAAAAAGAAATAAAACATAGAGAAGATGACTTGGTAATCGACTACTTGTTTTCCTTAAATGCAAAGCTGTTATATATGTTAAAAGATCAAGTTTTAATTTCAACGCCTTTCACTTTTGATTTCCTTCACCTGAGGCGTTTTTTATCCTTTCCAACCATCCAAAACTTGTTACTGCTTCTAGCATTGTTTAAAAGGTCATCTGAGCACCGTTAGTTGGCACTGTGAGTTAATTATTTGGATCCAAGAACAATTTTTTTTAACCCAATTCTATTAAAAGGATTAGTTCTATGTGTAATATGGGTTGATTTGCCATATGTCATATAAACTAGAGTTTTCTGTAATATCCCAAATTTTATGGATTTAAGTAAGGCATGAGGAAGGAGAACATTTTTAAAGAAATTGTTGAGATTAAGACACTTAAAATATGATCTAAATAATTAAGTTAATTTTAGGAATTTAGGACCTATTTTCTTGGAAAATTCAAGGAAAATAGTTAGAGGATAATTTTTGAGCTGAACTTTTTAGGATAATTATTTTATGGACTAAAGAAGCTAATGGAAGGAGAAAATTCATATAGATATCCAGGTGTGATTTCTGGAGTTATTTGATTATTTCAAAAAAAAAAATCTAGAGAAGGACCAACTTGAAAGCAAAATGAGGACCAAAGGGCAAAATGGACATTTCACATCCCTCATCTATCTAATACGCCCTAACACCTCCTCCCCTCTCATTTTGCTCTGCCATTCGAAGGGAAAACAGAGAGAAAGAGTTGAGAGACTTCAAGAGAGAGCAAGAAGAGCAAAGGCAATAAGAGGAGGGAATCGATTTGTATTAAGGTGGAAATCAAGCAAGGTGAGTGAGTCTCTTGAATCTTCTTCCATCTTTGTTTTCGGTTATTTAGTCATGTGTTGCAAGGTGGTGATGAAGATGAAATCTGGTTTTGAGGGAGAAAATAAAGAGGGTGAGAGCCAAGCTATAGAAATCGCACTTACTGGTTAGGATGAAGCTTGTGGTTGGGATTTCTACACTTGCTTTTTTCGGTTGATTGCTCTGGTTATAGTTTCTGAAACAGGGGTTTGAGAATTTACGGAAATGACTTCTGGTTTGGGTAATAGATGATTAACGAGACTAAATATAACTAATTATTTTCTGGTTGTATGATTATAATATGTTGATTTTATATGCTCTATGTAGTTATTGAGGGCGGAGGGGGGGTGTGCTTTGAATAAGAAAAAATTCAGACTTAAGGATGGAAGGACGCTGTTCGATTTTGCTGGTCAAGAAGCATTTGAATGCTAAACACATGAGCTGTAAATATATATATATATATATATATATATATATATATATATAGAACAAAGCCTTTTGAGACCGGAGCATTGGGAGAAAGGATTGGGCTGATTCTATTTTTACATCTCCGTTCTTTTAAGCTGATAGTCTGGGTTCAATATCGTATGATTATAAATATTAAACACTATTATAGGACATTTTGGAGAGAAGGCCGTGAGGTTTAATGGAGGAAAAAAAAAGAAGAAGGGAGATGTAAAAGATATATGTGTGTGTATGTGTGTGCTTGGGAGTGTCCGTGTCAAATCTGGAAAAAATTTTCCAGATTTGCTTAAGAATGTGGCGTGAAATATAGGAAGGGAAGAGGCCACCGAACCGTTTGGTCTAGTGGTATGGGTGGGTCTGTGTGTGTACGGGTTCGATCCCGTTCCTTGTAACCGGAAAAAAAAATATAGGAAGGGAAGAGGGATGATTAAACCTCAGTGTAGACATATTAAAGTATTTTTGGAAGCATGGGATGCTGTCCAAAATTGTTTAAAGTGTAAAGATAGATATTGAAATCTGAAAGAAAGTTTATAGATTAGCAGGTTGCTGAATTATTTTTGGAGACTAGGAATAAATGATCTATATATATATATATATAAATATTAATCTGTCCTTACCTATATAATTTATAGGTTTTGATATTTGTTCAAGTCCATTAAGAAGGGAGCCAAGGAAGAAGCAAGGGGAAGTTAGTACAGAAGAAAAAGCAAAAGGTAGTAACTCTTTTCCTTTAATGTGATTGTACATGGATTGCCACATGCTTGGATGTGCCTTTATACTGATTGTGCATGAGAACATGTGAGTTGCCTTTGCATGATAGTATTTGTCATGACAATATGCCCTAGTTTCCATTTATTTTGGAATGTGAGCGCGATAGATAGTGATTGGCTATATGGGTGTATGGTGTATGTGCATCATTGATTATATTTGGATGCAAGGTGTTGTTCTCTTTGGCCTGTGTAGCATGTTGTTTGTGATCTTGTATGATTCTCTAGAATCTTACCCCTTCTTCCATGTAATACAGCAAGAGCAAGTACTCCTAAGGGCAAGGGAGTAGTGATCGGTGGAGTTTGAAGGTGCAGGAAGCGGACGATCTTTTGTATATATATATTTTGCTTAAAATGCATCTTATTTTGAAGTGAAAATATATTGTGTATCTATTTTGGTATGTAAATATTCTTCCTTAAGGAGATGGCTAAGGGCAGATAAACCACGATAACTACTATTGAAGGAAATTATCAATATTTTGATATATAGTTATTATTTTGTCTAAAATTATGTGTATCTATATCTATAACTCGTTGTACGAGCCTATGGCTAGATCCTACTGGCTATAATTGATTTGATATGGGATCTAAAAGGTTGGATAGAAAAAGAATGGGTTCGATGGTTGAATACGAACCATGGGTCTTAGACGGTTTTTACTGCTTTTGTAAAAGGGTTAAATTAAGTACTTGAATAACTAGACAGGTTACTTGAAATGAATTTTAAAATGTTTAAAACTTTTCAGAAAATCCCATTCCTTGAATAGGATCAGACTTTGTATTTGAGAACTAAAAAAAAAAAATTTTGTCTTCCCAAGGATTGAAACCTGGCTTTTAATTATTCAAGATTAAATAGAACAACTATATTGGTGTATAAAGGATAGTCGTGACATTTTCTTCCCATGCAATGCACGGAACAAAAGTTATAGTTTGATGGTCCCTGTGTTTTGATACTTATATCAAGATGAACAAACCAATACACAACTTTTAATTGTATGGTTGCACACGGGAGTGAGTCCATTTCTTAATATCGGTGGTTTAATTTAACATCGATTACTCTCTTTTGTTGAATCAGCCGTACTCTTTTCAGAATTATTTCGTAGATTTTCATCAAAAGCTTTGATTCGTTCTTGCGCTTTTTTTTGTCTTTGTTATGTCAATGTTATTTTGCTTGATGAACCATGATGAATCCATTTCCTAATAAATTATGACCCACTGGATCATTTTTACAAGAGTTGGTATATGTAAGAATAATAAAGAATTTCTATTAAATTCACATGAACTAGAGTATTATGGTTCATCAAAGGATAAAAGTGTTGGCACTTCTGGGAGAAATTCTTAGGTACTCCGGGAGTACCACGTCACTTGAACACCTTCCAATAAAAATGCACCAGCTCAATCCATTGCAGCCCACTTGTCAGCTTATGTGGATGTTTTTCAATAGGAAATATTTTAAAAAAAAAAAATTCTGCTATAACTGTTCTCTCTCTCCTCTTTTTCAATACACCCCTCTCAAATTTTCTCTCTCTTTTGCACTTTTCCTTCTCATCTTTCCCCTCTCTTTTCTCCTTCTTTCTATCTTCCCATTTGCCGCTTCTTTTTTTTTTTTTCCTTTTAAAAAGCCCTCTTACTCAGTTTCTCCCCCTTTCACCACGTCTCGACCGCCACAATGCCCTGCACCGCTGCCGGCATTATGTTAGCCAAGGTTAGCTCATGCTACAGCCATTTGAAGGGTGCCATCCCGGAGAGCATCTTATCCATGAACACTCCATGAATCTTGAGATTATGAGAGCTATATTTGCTCTCCTATGCTTCAGCTCCTTCCTTCATCTTTCATCCTTCAACAAACTTAGCAGCAGCAATATGGCAGCAGAGGGGTTTTAAAAATTTTGAACAAATTTTTCAGCAAAAATGCTTTATCTCACCTGAACTCCGTTGTGCCCAGGACCTTAGTGTGCTATAATGCAATTTTTCATCTCCAGGAAAAAATTGGCGAAAAGAAGAATGGGGAGAGAGAAACCAGCGAAGAATAATAAGAAAGAAGATGAAAAAGGAGAGGAGAGAGCCCGGAGAGACGGGAGGGAAAGTCAGAGAAGAGAGAGAAAATTTTGGAAAAGTGTTATTGAAAAGTGGGAGAGAAAAAAACGGTTGTAGCAGAATTTTTTTAATGAAATATTACTCATTAAAAAAGAGCCACATAAGCTGATAAGTGGGTCGCAATTCATTGAGTTGGTGCGTTTTAATTGGAGAGTGTTCAAGTGATGTGTACTCCCAGAATACCTAAGAATTTCTCAGAATCATGTATGTCAGAGCATTTGGAAAGCAGGTGAGAATGAGAGCAAGAAAGGTACTGACGGTCCTAATGATTGGTTATGCAGAAGTTTGTTAGAATCTTTCCCTTGGTCATTTTCTCTCTGCTTTCCTGTGATTTCTTTCTTTTTCTGTGATTATCCATAACTGCTTCTTCTTCCTTTTGTTATATTTTCCCTCTATGGTTGTACTATGATGACGATAGCTTAACGCAGTACTGGAAACTTTTATCAATATATATATCCATAGCTTCCGCATATTATCAAAATATATATCCTCACTCTTTTTTTTTTTTTAATAATCTCTGTAGCTCTGTCAAACGGCACTACCAACGCCGCTGCTCTTGCCCACCATATCGTATACGCAAAAACCTACTAGATGCTACAAATCAGATTTTAGATCAAAACCGACTAAATTAATCGGTCGTGGCTACAGGGTATAGACTGATGAGGACTCATCGACTGAGGACTGGGAAGGGAGGAAGGAGAGATTGGAGACGGCAAGCACTGAGCAGAGAAGATAGCGAGCACTGAACACTGAGATCAGAGGGTGATGGGACGACGAGCACGAGGGTGGGACATCGGCAACTACTCAAGCCCTCCAATGGCTGCCAAGTGAGCAAAGAAGAAAAGTTGCGCAAGGGTCTCAATTTTTCAAGATATACAAAAACAAAACTAGAAAACATCCTAAAATTGCTTTGTGTTTTTAGTTTTTAAAAACCAAATCACTATTTTTTTTGTTTTAAAAAAAATTTAACTCAAAATAATTTGCTAAATCGTCCCTTAATTTTTATCTAACCTTGGCTATGTCTTAATGCTGTTCACCATGCTCGTCCTTAGGGTGGGAGTGGTGGCTTTTTATTAAAGGCGATTTAATAAAGAGAAAAAATATATAGATACAAAATTAAAAATTAAGAGAAAGTATTCTTTTCCATCAAATTAAAGGAGTATTTACAATGCAAATGACTAAAAAAGATATTTTAGAGTAATTAATGCATATTTTTTTAAAAAAATTATAACTAATATAACTAATTTTAATTTAACTAGTTTCTAAATCTTTGCAAGTTAGTTATTTTATTCTTATGTTTAGGCTTGGAAGGGGTATGTTATATTAAGGGTTAACATCTAATTTTACCTTGAAAGTTTATACGTTTGAGCTATGGGTATCCGAAAGTTTTCATTAATCATTAAAAAATTGATATTGATCGTTAATATTTTTAAACAATCAGGGGATGTGTTGCTCATTTTTTTAACATTTCTGAAACAATATTGAGCTAACAAAAATTTTCGTACACTTAAATTTTTAGGATAAAATTACACATTAATCCTTATTTTAAATATGGATCACGCAAGATTATATTTATTACTTCAGTTGGGTAGCCAAGTGATTTTCCTAACTCATTATTGACTTTTGCAGTTGTACCCAGAAGGTCCTTAATTATCTGCAGGCCAAGTAAATGGAAAAAGAAAAACATCCTTATTATTTGAGGTCTCTTCTCAGAGTGTGCTCCGTTCAATGGGCAAAATTACTGGTAGGGAAGGAAGAAACATTATTCTTTCCCCAAAAATTATGAAATTTCTTCTTATGATGATGATGAAGAATTTTACAAGGACTTTAATTTAATGTAATTCAGGTGCGTGCACGTGTGCACTGCTCACCTGTTTTCATTAGTAAATTCATCTATTGCGCAATGCCTTTCTCAATTAGTAATACACTTAAAACCTTTTTTTCCCGCCATACATTATTTAACAGTCACATTCTTACCATTCTGGCATCTGTTTTGTCGCAAACCCTAAATTTTGTATTCATTAATTTGAGAAATACCTAATTGGCAGGGCATTTCCACAAGACATGTACATTTAAATAATAAGTAACATGATTGGTGAAAGTGTCTTCATTCTAGGCCTAGCTATGGTTTTAAACCACATCTATAAGATGTTTTTTCAATTCTTTAATTGAAAAACTGTTGATGTAAAATTTTAAATGTTGACAATATACTCTTCCAGTCCTAAATATAAGATCCTTATACACACTACTATAAGGGTCTTACATTTAGGACCGGAGGAGTATTATTAAGTGCTGATATATTAAATGTATCTTGACAACATATAATTTTAAAATAACAATAATTATCAAAAAATTTGTTATTTAAAACTAATGATATTATAGAGGATTAAAAATCAAATTAACATTACTAATAAACTGTTAGTTGGGATGATAAGAGGTCTTATCCCGTAAAAAAGAGAACATAAGTTTGAATCCCGAAAAGCATACTTATTGGAAGGGCTTCAATCTTACTGCTCTCGACCTGATAGAAATTATCTCAAGTCCAAAATAATTTAAGGATACTCTAAGTCATAACAAAAAGTAAATGAACATTTTATATAAAACTAAAGGACATAAATGCACTCTGAACTAAAAAATAAAATAAGATAAAAATATATTAGATTTTTTTCCCGCTCTCATTTCTTTTTCCCTGGGCGAATGAATGCGCAGAACAGGGGGAGAAAAAAAATTTCTGGATGCTTCTTTGACAAGCTTGGCCTTCTTCTTTGGTTCAGTTTCGTCGCCTGCCTTCCTTCCCTTGCCGGTGTGTGCCTGTGCGATCTCTGGTGGCTCAAGCTCGGACTCTTCACCGAATCCTCTTCTTCTTCCTCTGTTCTACAAGTCGCTACCGTGCGTGGGTGTGAGCAGAATGCCGTCCCCTTTCTTTAAACAGATAAACGCATCCTAATTGGGGGGAAATAAAAGAGTCATATGAATCTATGAAAATACTCTTATACTCTTTGGGACTGTATTGTAATTGCGTTATCATATAAAATGACAAAAATGCTCATAGACCCACCCCCTTTGATTGATGCTGATGACTAGCGTTAGCCGACCATCGCCTGGTTCGTGACAACACAACTTGACCACTCAAATCGTTTTGAAAAGATTAGTTAGTGTATAATAAATTAGAAAATTTTTAACTTTTGTAACATGATTGACAAGTCATGTAATGGTATTAACAAGTTCGGTAACGTAATTAAAAACATGTTTTTTTAGGAAATTATGAAAGTGGCATTTTTTTCAACTTCAATAACTATGA